TTAATTTCAAGATTAAAACTAAGTTTTATCGGTCAAATGAATGAGAGTGTAGCATTTTTTGCTCTCTACTGATCAGGAACGCACAATTTATCGCGGCATTTAGTTCCTTGAGGACAATTACTGCAGCTCTCACCTTTTTCATAGGATTGTTCTGCTTCTAAATCGGCGCTTAAATGAAAACAATGAGAATATTACCATCTCATAAGAGGAACTTTTAAATAGTATTGGATTCATTAATTAAAAACTTACGGTGGTTGATACTGACAAACATATAAATATATAGGTCCTTCGATGCTTGGAAAATGTTCATCACATCTCTGCACCGCACAACCAACACTGTTCGAACCGGCCCAAATCATCTAATTCAAATTATCTTAGGTAAGTTTTCGAAAGGAAAATCTAATGCTTTTTGAAAGGAAGATTTAATTAAACGTCTAGCTAAATAACTCTCATGTAGTGTTCACAGGAGTTAAGTTGGAAATTGTAGAACCTCTTTTCCGAGGACCACTTGCCGATAGCATACGGAAAATGCTCTGTAGGTAGACCGAAACTTAGATAGATATTTCGACTGGTATTCTGGTACATTGTATGGTCATCATCTTTGCATTTTTGAGCCCATGAATCATCCAATGATCCCAGATCAGGACTGTATTCCTACAGACAAGAGAGAATTAATAAGTGAGAAATATACTAAAAATGCAAAAATATTTGGAACTTACCATCGCCAGCATATTTGCCGCTGCAGGATCTACGGTACGACGAATCAAATTATGCGACCCTACGATCATTTATTGCTCAAGTTTTGTCGGTACCCGAGAATAGACAGGGTAGAAGTAAACCAGAATTATAATTAATTTGAACATATTTCAGCTTAAACGGGGTACAACGTACGCGAAGTCTTTTATATGCTGCTTTACTGTCCAATGGCAACAGTTCGTAGCATGATTCGCCTAGATCAAGACACATTGCTCCCACTTGATAATGCCCTTTTGAAGTTACGTTAGAGTGTTTAAAGTGTTTGGTATGGTTGTGATTACCTAGAAAATTGAAAAAAAATGTAAATGCTTTGATGCCAAACAAGACTAAGGCATCTTTAGAAATATAAATTCGAAAGCACGCATGATAATACTTTCAAATCTCCTAATCTAAGCAATGCTTTCTGCTGAACCTCCATGATATAACTTATTCCTTCAACTCAATTCTTCAGCAATGTTTAAAATATTTCGGAAATTTCTTTGCTCTGCCCACTGTGCTAGACATTAAGGGATCGTTGCTTGTGTTCCGTAATATTATTCTACCATTAGACAAGAGAACTTCAAATGAGTGAAAGGGGTTATTTTGCATTATCACCACAATTCTGTTGTTCCTACTATTTTGTGCAATAAATGGTTCGAATTTGATAAAATTCACATTGCTTTAAATACAAATTGATGCAAAATGAAATATTGATTAACATTCTGAACTAAACGGCAATTGGTGGCATTGTAAGCACCACGAAAATCTGTAAAAATGAGCACATTTCTTGAGAATTAACGACACAATTGAATGCTAATTAATGTAGATACCAAGGCAATGGCAAGTCTCTCCATCCTTGATCAGATTATTATTACATCCTAACTTCTCCTTATTTTAATGTTAGCACTTCATGGGATGTGCGATAGACTTACCTCCACGTGGTGCACCCTGGGCAACGTATATTCATACGGTTAGGTACGAGACTGGTCTCCCAGATTTTTTTGAAAAGTGTCAGCATGGTTTCCTTGGCTTTTGGTTCCATTCCAATTAGAAATTCCGGATAAATACCGTCTTCGCCATGAGGCTTTTAGCACTTTAGCTGTATTATCACAGCATTAAGTTTCCAAGGTCTGAATGGTTCAGAAAGTACATTATTTGGTGTTTTGATGTCTTCCTTAGTTTCACCAAACTAGCTAGCTTGTATCTTTATATCTCTTGAATATTTTCTGTCAAAAAGGCTTTTCTTTTGCTTGTGGGAATAGAACCTTGCATATAAGTTATCTATTTCGGAGTCGGTGGTGAGCAGTTTGTTGTTTAATCGTATTGGTTATTTCTTGAGTCTTTCCCTGTTATTTTGGAGGTTACCCAGGAATTTGAAAGTGCGTTGGCTTTCATTT